TCTCGTAAATGGTATATAGATGGTTATCGAACAGTGATATATCCCGCTGTTGCTCATATATTTGAATTCTGACAAAATTCTTAAAATATTTACAACCCCCGTCACACCAAACATGCTCGCCCTTTAAGCCGTGGGGGCGTTATAATATGACGGTCAATCCCACTATTCATTGGTAAAAGAGTAGCCCAAGAGTTAGTGATGACTAACTGCCTTCCCTCTAGTCTTACATTGCTAAATTAGGGACGGCTAACGTAGATAGCCCTCGTGTAGCTTTGCATGAAATTCAAAACAAACAAACAACATATTATAATAATACACACTACCCATGAAAATATAATTTGATCTTTATTACATTTTTAAATATAAATATTTTCAGCACATTTTACTTTTTCTAAAGATTTTCGTTCATTTCTTAAAATATTGATATATAATTATTACAAAGAATCATATTTATTTTTACGTTTGTATTTAATATTTTCTATACAGATAATGCCAGTTTTAAGTTAGTATTTCTAGCCATTGGAATTTTAAAACACATTGTTAACTTTATAGAATAATCACTGCTAGAAATATCATTAAAGACTGCATTAGCTTATACTTTATTGCAAACTGATACAAGCCCCCCATAATTTCATATCAGGTTTAATAATTGGAGGTTAAGTAAGATTTGTGTTTAAAGGTACAATGTCTATTTAATAATGGTTTTAAAATAAAATGCAACGTATTTTACCGAGAAACCGTGCTTCCATTTTATTTCATATAAAATGTTGAAAATAATCATGAAAACGAACAAGTGAGACAACAAAAGGAGTCATAAACAATTAATAATTCCAATTAAATGCTTAATCTCTCATTAGTACAATTTATTATTATAAAAATACACAAGTAAACCTAATTCGTTTTACATGTTTTACAATATACTAGTATTTTTTACTTGCTTGAAACAGATAATTATCCCTTGATTTTATGTTATAAAATTTTATGTTTGTCAATGTATGATCGTGAAGTATATTCCAAATGTCTTTTATTGCTCCATATAATTGCCAAATAATTTGGATTTTGATGCATTTATGAAGAATTGTCCCCCCCCCCCATTCCAGTTCATATCCCGCTGTTAGAAGCCTGATTACTATTCCAACATTTTGGTTTGGCTATTTCTCCTAAGCAAAGGGTTTTGAGCTGCAACACGTCCATTGAAGTAACTTTATGCTAATGTGTACGTTATTATTCTGGAAGTGATATTCAGACCTGTACTTGTAGCTAGGTCTCTGGCAAGATCTCTACTAGTTTTATATAACTTTTTCAGAATTTCCATGCAGCTACTACAGAATCCTAAAATCTCCCATCAATCTCCTTCCATCAGCCAAAAGATAACTTCCTAAACGTTTGTCATGTGGAATTTCTGTCCTGGAAACCATGTGTGTCGGCATCACGCTACTGTTGTGAATATTATAACTGCCTGTACTTTCGTAGGCATTATGCTGATGTGGCTTTGGTTGATTGGTTGAATGACAGACATTAATTGTGTAAGCTATCAATACGTGACTATACTCTGATATATTTATTGGGTTTCTAACTTCTTTTTCACCTCCTTTCATATTTTTCCTATTGGTATTATATTTTCACATTCTACAGTTTTTCCGTGATTCGAAAATCCGATGTACTATATACCTTATGTGTTTTTCTTTGAACTAATGATATCAGAAGTTATAAATATATGGTAACAGCAACTGAACACGGTGAAAATTTATGTTTGCGATGCATATGTGAATTTAAAGTGAAACCAAATATACACGAAAAGTGTTTTTAACTTTTTTAGTTTCTAGGCACCTTTTATATTTCAGGGGTGTACAGGACAAGTAGCTTATGGATAGACATTAAACACTGCGTACTGTCTGAAAGAAATGATTGTTTGCTTATCGATTCTTGAGGGATGGTGTGCTATCTCATAGTAATGCAGACTCAGCAAAAGTATTTTATATCTAAAAAATATCCACACAGGAAGAAGGCAATACGTTTTTCTTTTTTTGTGAAGGAAGATTGAATAAGCGTACGGTATGTACGTTAGTCAATACTTGGGCAAGTAGAAAAAGGAGCTAAGATATAATCTTTACACCACAACGATTTAGACATTAAAAAGGTTATGAGGTCGAAGATAAAGATAAGTAAGATAATTATTATAAATCCTTCACTATAAAAAAAAGTCCATAGTTTTGTTAAGGCTAATGAATCATAGCCTCATTTGCAATAAATTACACAAAAGTATATTCATAACATCATGACTCCCAGTGTTATCAAAAATCCAAGACTAATTATAGAAATAATACAGAACGTAAGCACCATCCTAAAATAATTAATAAAATTTCTTTAAAAATGTGATTACTATTCTAATAGTAACAGCAATGCGACATAAACATTGCAGTGGGTTAAACTACGTAAACATTGCAGTGGGTCAAACTACGTGACTGTTGTTCTAGCAGTTTTATTACAACCAATGAAGATCAAAGTTGTGATGACTAAGCTAAAAATTAATCACATGTATATTATTATATATCAGTGTCTTTCTTTTAATTAATGTGATGCTGACAGTACATAGGAGCACTGGATATGATAATACGTTTTCTTCCTAAGCTAGAAATTAATCACATGTATATTATGATATATCAGTGTCTTTCTTTTAATTAATGTGATGCTGACAGTACATAGGAGCACTGGATATGATAATACGTTTTATTATATATATATATATATATATCGGGAGTACAAAGCAATGCAGGAATATATAAATAAAGATTACTTAAGGTAAAAAAGATATAGCTCTCAATTTGATGAGAATTTCCTTTTAAGCTCTAAAAGAGTTAATTATTAAATCCCTTTCCCTTGGAGGTCACTCTTATTGAACAGGATAAAGTTAATGGTCTATCTAGCTTTCCAAATTAATGCCATAAAAAGGGCAGTTTTGTCAAGAAAGAAATTTAATGCGAAATTTCACATGCACTCTCGTGTTTTTAGAATGGCATGTAATTGAATAAATTTAATTGCTTCATTTCATTTCGGTGATATATATATATATATATTTAAAAACTCACTTTGCACAAGATATATAATTCCATTTCATTTACAGAGTCGACAAACGCTCAATTAATTTGTTCAGGTTTAATGTTACAACAACATACATAATAAATAAAAAATAATGTTTTTGGCGTTTTTACGTAAAAAACTCTCAACATGGCTTGTAGGAATTTTCATTCTAATTAGTTATTTTTATTCTGCTTCTGGAACGTACTGAATTCAACTAAGTTTGTTCTAACCTAAAGCCATAAGTTCGCTTCCCCTGACAACAGATTGAGAATAGTTTCGCGTTAGTTTTTTATATTTCATAGGATCGTATAGTACTTCTTAGTAATAATTTCAGAGACTATTAATATGCGTTTTATTTTACAGCTTGTCATCAAGTTATCGTGAATGATTTCTATTCTACATACAGGATAACAATATGAAAGAAGTTACATATAGCATTAGGAATAACTCCAGTACAGTACTAAGTTGAGTAAATGTGGACTTACAAACTGTCCGCAATAATTGTATAGGGAGTAACATACAAGAATAATAATTTCAATATAACTAAATTAAATTAAAGAAGGTTTCTATACTGCTCGGAACAATTATGAAAAAGAGCGACACACCAGTACAATTAAGAATAACTCCATTAGAACTAAATTAAGCAAATAATAATTTATGTTGTTCAAAACAAAAGTGTAACACGAAATATTAAAACATCTTTTGAAGTAATAACGATAGAAGTGTTAGAAAAGTATCCGGGATAATGCTATCAATACTTAAAAAAACACAAAAACATTTCAATGAATACCAAATGTTTCAGTAAAATATATTAGTGTTACATAATTATATGATGTGGCAGGCGTGTGCTAACAATAGTTCAAAATTTGTGATGTTGAAGATGCAAACCTACACAATTAAAGATTCATGATATATTAGATGGTCCACCAGATATCCATATATTCACGGGATCATGCACACAATATTAGGTTAACAATTACGAAGATATAGCAGTTAGTCCACTATTTATTCTTAATATACGTTTTCACGCCAGGCTTATTACAGAATGATTCGTAGTAGCCTAGATAGTCTATTAGTTTTTTTTTAATTCACGGAACCATGCTCGGTTTATTACATTATAATTCATGATGGCCTAATTTGTCTACTAGTTTTCTTTAAATTCATGGAAACATGCTCAGTATATTACATTATGATTCATGATTGCCTAGTTTGTGATGGTCTAGTTAGTGTACTGGTTGTCTATAAATTCACGGAATCGTGCTTGATTTATTACATTATGATTTATCATGGTCTAGTTAGTGTAATAGTTGTTTAAATTCACGGAATCATTCTCCGTTTATTACATTATGATTCGTGATGGCCTAGTTTGTCTACTAGTTGTCTTTAAATTCACGGAATCATGCTCAGTTTATTACATTATGATTTATGATGGTCTAGTTAGTGTACTAGTTGTCTTTAAATTCACGGAATCATGCTCAGTTTATTACATTATGATTTATGATGGTCTAGTTAGTGTACTAGTTGTCTTTAAGTTTACGGAATCATGTCGGTATATTACATTATGATTCATGATGGCATAGTTTGTCTGCTAGTTGTCTTTAAGTTCACGGAATCATGTCGGTATATTACATTATGATTCATGATGGCGTAGTTTGTCTGCTAGTTGTCTTTAACTTCACGGAATCATGCTCGATTTATTACATTATCATTTATGATGGTCTAGTTAGTGTATTAGCTTCTCCCGTTATGTATATGTGAAGACATTAAGAAGTAGAAATTATGTGCTTTACACAAATATTGAGGTTGATTTTTATGCGCCGTATAAATCTGGTGAAATGGTCATGAAAAATCTCATAAAGTGATTATTCTGGACCACGTTATATTATCACTATATGTAAAAAACAAAAAGACTTACATACCGACTGCCACTGCTCGACGATTTCCTAACAGGAAAGAAAAATATCAGTAATTACATACTTTTATTCACTTCCTACAAAAGCAGTCTGAAAATATAAGAATTACTTTATAATTGAAATTAAATTTGTTTGTGACAAAATTTCCGACATTAAAAATAGTTTGTTTAATTCCTTTTCTTTTCCATAAGAGAAAGATACCATGTATAGTTTACGGTATGTATAGTAAAAGATATCACCTCCCTTGTATAAGTTTTTTATATTCCACATGGATTTTATGTACTTAAAAAACATAATTTCGTATTAGTTTAGCACAAATGTACATGAAACCATGAATCTTAGTGATTATACAATTGCTATTAAATTATAAATTTAAGTGTGGTAGTAGTCTCTTGTTATTTAAGCTTAGAACAGATAAGAATAAGTTTTTAAACTCATAATACACGCGCGAATATATGTTAAATAAAATCAGCATACGTGTAGAAAATGTCATTCAATTATTTTATTTAATGGCGAGTAATGTCAGTTCTGTATCTCAAATCATATCTTTATGTCAGTCAAAGGTTGATTTATCATACATTTTAAAGATTAAGAATATGTTACGTTTCAGCGTGTAATACAAATAAAATAAAAAATCCTCTGTGTGAGAACCTCATACATGACCACCAAAGAAGCATTATTTATGCGCTACAAGATCTGAAAATCGAAAAGTTTACATCCAAAAAATTGTGGGTGACCATAGCTCTTAAAATATGAAAAACTTCTTTACACTCAGAATTCATATTAAAAGTCATTCACTTGCCGCATGTAATTCTAAACAAAAATTATGTGAAATAGAGGCTCATAAAATACAGTTTCACTAAACTTCAGTTTTGAGATTTATAGATTGTTAAAGATAAAGTTATCTCTATGACAAGAGTTACGTCAATAGGCTACACAAAATGAAGTACACATGAAAGAGAAACAAAATAAGTTATGGTAAAATGGCTAGTTATAGACCTTAGATAAATATTAGATTTTTTTTGTTGTTGAATAGTTTACCAAGGTTGTGATTTATTGTGATTTATGTTTCGATTCCTTGTTGGTGTTGAATTGTCATGCATTTCTGTATGTCATCCATCGTAAAGAATGACATACCAGGCTACTGTCGAACACAAGGCTGGAAACAACAGCTTGTCCTCAAACACGTAAAAAAAAGAAGCACCAAAATTTTATTTCAGAATAATGAGGAAACAGCCTGCAAATTAACACAACAACAAAAGTATTTAAAGCAAAAGATAAGAAGCATCAGCCTCTCTGCCAAGATGAAGGAAAATAACTCTTATATTTAACATAATGAAGGAAGGAACCGCTTACCTGTTGAAATTAGGAAGATTTAATTAATTACTTGTCTAAAGAAACAAAAAGTGTATCAACCTGCTTTTCAAGATGAAGTATGCCGTATTTTTCCTTCGTGCTAATACCAGGAAAGAAAAAAAAAGCACCAGCTTGCCGAGATAAAAACAATTATTCTACCTCAACAAGGAGGGATCAACCTTCTGGTTAAGATGAGAGGGAAATAAGAAGCATGACAGCTTGCAAAAGAAACTAATACCAGTTTCTTCTAAAATAAGATAGAGAGCATCAACGTTTTGTCTAATATGAAAGAAAATGTGTCAGCTTACCTTCTAAGCTAAGGCAGATGATATACGCCTTGTCAGAAAAAGATAAAAGCAGTAAGAGTCTGCTGGTTAGTAGAAATAAAATCAGCATACGTTTAGCCATGGCGGGATACATTAATGGGTCATCAACATAAAAGAGAAAGCACCAGCCAATCTGCTAAAATCAAAGAGATAAAATCAACCTGTCAGTTTAGATCAGAGAGGAAATATAAGCCTGCCATCTACCATGAGAGAAGAAAAACAAACTTATCTTATAAGAAGACGCCAGTCTGATATACAACACGGCGAAACGTGCTCTAGTCGCATAAATAAGACAATAAAGAAAGTATTAACACACAAGAATGAAGTATATAAGAGGAAAACCAACCTACAAAGTGAAAGAGGAAATATCAAAGAGCAGGCTGAGGTGACAGAAAAGGAACCATCGTGTCTGATAAATCTATGTGAGAAAGGAAGTACAAGCCTTCTACGTAATACGTGATAGAAAATACCAGCTTAGAAAGACGAGTGAGGGAACACCAGCCTAGTGACTAGAAAAAGGTTAAAGTACCTGGGCAGGGGGAAAGGTAATGCCAGACGAAGAAGAAACATCAGTCTGCTGGAAAAGACGAGTAACAATATACCAATCTACTAGTTAAACAACGTGGAAAAATGTAAACTCCTGGAAAAAAATGTCAGTATCCTAAGTAAGACGAGGGAAGAGGTGCCAGAAAAAGGAATAACGGGCTGGCACTTCCTGGACGAAGGAATAAAGCTGAAGCCTGCTGAATAAGAAAGGGAAGAATGCACCTGCTTTCGAGGAAGACAAAGTTAGTAACTCATGCCTGCCTGCCAATACGAGAAAGAATCTTCTGTACGGCTATCTATCGAGGAACAGGATATACCACTCTATCTGTTTGGATGCGGAAATGAACACGTGAGGGCCTTTCACGAAGAAAGGAAAGTCATCAGCAAACTATAAAAAAAAAGGGAAATGTAATACATTATAACCGTTAATTTGGTAATTAATACAATACGTGAGATGTCATAAGCTTGTTCGTGAATTTCAGAAAAATGAGAATGATTTCTAGTTTGCTTTTCTATTCCATATAATAATCTGCTGAGTTATCTTCATGAGTAACAAGTAAATTTGTTAAATATCACTGACATACGTTTCTTCTATGGGAAGGGTTCAACAATGGAGTGGTAGGGATAAACCTCGAAGCTCACTAGATGGCAGGTTAACTGGGTCATTAGACTATTACATTATTTCTCGTGTTGTTTAATTCTTTTGTTTCTTTTTCGTATTACTCGACTGAAAAAATACGTAGCTCATCCAAACTCAGGTTTTTCCTCAACAGTCATATATATCAGTGTGTAATTAAAGGAAACAACCACCCTAAGAGCGACTTGAATGAAGAGAAATATATTCAAAGGAATATAAACATTTGGTGAATCAGCAAGACTTACCTAACGACCCTAATTCTTCAGATTGGCCTGCTTGTTTTCCTATAACAACGAAAGAGATTAGAGAACAATTAAAAGACAAATATGTTATCGCAGGCAACTCATTGTGCAGCAGCATATAAAAACAACATACGATTAATTCGTCCTGTTAGAGTTCAATGACATTTCCCACAAGTATTTATAATCAGTAAGAAATTCAAAATGCAAAAATATCGCACCGTTTGGTAAAGTCTGTACACTTTCATGCAAAGTTTATGTAAGAAATATGTGTTATAAGGATAAGAACGTGGACATGGATACATCTTTCCATGTTATATTTTTAATAATAATTATATATATAATCAATATATAAATTTACCATTTACATGTGGAAAAGGATATCGAAATTAAACTTGAATTATTCGAAAGTTTGAGCTTAAAGTGAAAATGTATACATCAAATATAATTTATGTATGTAAATTAAATCATTAAATGTAAAACAAGATTTCTTTCACAAAAATTCGTGCTTTTGAAAACCAGAAACTCGTGAAAAAGACGAACCATAATAACATTCCAAACGAAAGTATCTGAAACTGCAATAGAAAGTACGTTATCATTAAACTTCTGCTTGACATGACTAAGTGGTTAGGGCACTCTATTCTCAATCTGTGGATTGCGTGTTCGAATCCCGTCACCGAACATTCTCGTCCTTTCAGCAATCGATGTTTATAACGTAACGGTCAATCCCATTATTCGTTGGCAAAGAGTAGCCCTAGAGTTGATGGTTGGTAGTGTTGATGAACTGCCTTCCCTCTAGTTTTTCGCTACCCCCACCCCACCCCCAGTGGCATAGCGGCATGTCTGTGGACTTACAACGCTAGAAACAGGGTTTCGATACCCGTGGTGGGCGGAGCACAAATAACCCTTTGTGTAGTTTTGTGCTTAACTACAAACAAACGGACAAACAATGGCTACTAAATTAGGGACTTCTAGTGCAGATAGCCCTCGAGTAGCTTTATGCAAAATTCAATAGACAAACAATCACTAAACTCCAGTTTTCTTTGAATAATGTAGATGTAATCAGTGTTTTATTTAATAAAATATGATGAAAGAACCTAGCTTTCTTTAAAATTCCTAATGAAATCTAACTTAAACTATAACTCAAGAAAAATCCCATATCATACTTTAATTTTTTAGAACCTCTTGCTCAAAGCGAAATGGCATATTAAAAAAGTCGTAAATATTTAAGTGAAATGCATGATCTAATAAAGAAACTCTAGTGGTGAGAGTTGTACAGATTAAATGTAACGAGCACAAAAAAATGAAACTCATGGGAGGGAATGGTATTTAAGAGAACGACTAATATTCTGAAAAGATGAAGTTGACATTTGTCTACAGAAAGAACAGTTGATGTGACAGTCAACTATAACGACAGATATCATTTCATTTATTGCGTGTAAAAACGAAATTTCCTCTAGTATTGAAGTCATCTATCTTTTGAAGCATCTTTGAGGCGTAAAACAATCGATGTCGGTCGTTTGTAAGAAATGGATGTAATTCTCAAGGCGGTTTGTCTTGTTCCTCTCGACAGGAAACTAAATTTTCTTGTCAATTATGGCTATAAGCAGGCCTAGTGGTGATAAGTACGAGAAAACAAAGTATTTACAATGGACAAATCCGAATAATAATAAAAATTCTGCAGATTGTCATTTTAGTTTGTTCCAAATAAAATGGTACGTTATTTTGAGATTCATTTCTTACCGGCAGAGCTGATAAATGGCTGAACAGAAAATTAAAAAGAACGAATTAAAATTTTTTATAAAAAAAGGTTCACTTTTGTAATAAGGATACTTCTTAACTGGTGGATTTAGTTTGCTTTAAATATTTCATTAGATTCTTTATCAAATACAACACGTAGCATCTTAATGAGAAAAAAATGCACATAAGTAAAGAGAGGTTTCAAGCTTTGGTGGTAGCAAGTTCCTTTATACAGGGCGAAACTTCATATAGAGACAGTTAATGAAAGAGCTGAATTTTGTTTATATGGTCATTAGGTGCTGGACTTTACAATAACCGAACCTAGAGTGTGGAGCTTGAAGTTCCAGCTTTATATGTTAACATTCTGAGCATTAGTTTCTATTTTGTAAGCTATATTTATTTAATAAACACGCCACTCTCTTTCCACTTATTATTTTTTGTAAAACCCTAACAATATGTTACATGCATTCTTGAATGTGAGTTGTGTTTAACTTGCACCAAAAAAAAAAACAATGAAAATGTATGGAATGCAAAATTAAACAATATACTTTATTTTACAATATGATAAGGTGAATAAAATAAAATCGAGTTGCCATGCGCCTTAATCTGTGTCTATCAGAAAAACATATCCTTGCTAAAACAAAGACAAAGCAGGATTAATTCATATTAAGTCCTATTAACTACTTTGCATTAGTTAAGGTAGGGATGAATTCCATGGTGTGCTAATTTAGAAATACTTCCTAAAAATGAGAGAGGTGATGTTTCTTAGCATATTTTAAGATCTGGAAGCTTATTTATTAGAAATAGAGGAGATCAAGTGACTAGTTCAAATCTCACGCAGCTTCTGAATAATAATTTCCACTGTCAGTTTCCTATGACACCTCTTTAAAATTTGTAGGTGGTAAACGAAAAATTCAATCACCTCTGTTATAAAATTACTCTATAGAAATTAAAGTATAAAATTGCTACATATCAACCAATGACGATCATTTTTGCGTATATGATTATATAATATAACGAAATCTGTTGAATATATATATATATAAATATATACCTGCTTGACAGACACGTTTAACTTTAGTTTGCAGCATACGCACGATTCACAAGAAACAAGTAGTCGCATTTGATAAAAGTTTCTTACAAACTTATATTTTACTCTCATAGTTTTTACGAATGCAGACATGGTCGTCTGCGTATGATGTTGTGAACATCGTTGACAAATTTTGGTCGAGGGTTTATTGTTTTGATGTATTTTTGTTGGTTTGAATAGCGAGTATACAGCGTGAATTTTAACGTTTATTTTTCGAAGGGCATTAATAAAAAATATTAGGCTGTGCTAACAAGGCGTAAACTTTAAAAAACGTTTGTTTAGTGTCTTTTGATTTCACTTATGAGCCTTAGCAAATTTAGAACTTACGAAAGCTTCTTTCATGAACTTTTCTTTCAGACAAATGTTAGAGTGTACGACTTCTTGATTGAGTGATTCAGAAAATGTTGACGATTTAGCGCACAAATAAATAAACGACACGGTTTATTCGATGTGCTTATAGTAGTTTTAAATTGTGAATTATAATGAAGTGCATTTTTTTGTTTTAGAGAAAAGCCACATTGGACTATCTGCTCTGTCCACCGCGGGGGAATCGAACCCCGAACTATAACGTAATAAGTCCGTAAGCTTACCGCTGTCCTCCCGGGAGACAATTATAGTACACGAAAAAATTGTTTTTAATACTTGGGAGTGAAACGTATATTCACTTTATTAATATGTTGGGTTAAGTACTTGTTCCGCATTATTTGAGCTGTTGACATCTTAGCAGGCCCCCTTTGGCTCAGAGGTAAGTTTGTTGGTTCATAACTTAGAATTTGGGATTAGATTCCCCGCGGTTGACACAGCGCAGATAGCTCATTGTGTAAATTTGCGAATGAAAAAACAACAACAACCAACATATCGGAAATGAAATTGGAGTTTTTTTTATTTCCAAACAAACTTTAATTAAACTGTCGATACTGAAAGATCGAAATATCTTCAGTTATTGTTAATTTCAAGCAATGTTTTAACTTCACGTAGCCTTAGCTTGTTTGCCCTGTTTTGTTCTTATTATTATTGAAGGCACGAGCCTATCTTATTTCCAAAGGGTAGGAAAAGGGAAACAAGAGGGATTCATCAATAGCCGCGACACTTGAAATTCTTTTAGGCAGGATTATTAAATTAATCTATGATACTTTTTCAATTTTATTAGCTATATTTTTGTGCGACAGCAACTTGAAACGTGAGGAGCGCGTATTACCGAGTCGATTTTATTACTCATCAAAATATCTAATAGCATACCCTCAAATTGAAATTCTTTTAGGCAGGGTTAGAGTAAATTAATCTATGAGACCTTGGTCGTGGTTAAATACATCAATCTAAAGGGTTTGGCGTCCTAAGTCCAAAACTGTAATTAGATCTTAAATTGGCCAAGAGATAACGGAGCTATGAGTTAAAAGGTCATGGAAAAGTGGCAAGAAGAGCTGATGGAGAGAAATCGCCTGTCTAACAAGGTGGGAGGGGTAAAGATCAAGTGAGCCACAATTTCAGGTCTCGAGGCAGTCACACACAGTATCCAGAAGTATATGCAGACAACACAACATTGCACATTGCTGTTGGGCTATTTTATTTTGAAGATGCTTATAATAAAGTGAATATTGCAATTTTGGCAATGAAGCTAAAGGCTCTTGAAGTCTAGAATATTTTCATATGATGGATATTAGCAATACTGGACATCAGACACTAAAATGAAATGTAAAATTAAAGAGAGGTCTGAAATGTTTGAAATGAGCTCTGACTTGTCTTAACAATGCATACTGAGTTCTTTTCAACGTTCACACAGCTGATGTTGCCAATGTACTGGGAGGCCCTAAGGTGACACTGTATACATATATTGGTGATATATTTGTTGCAATAATCTCAGACATACCAAGAGATACAAAGAAGATCTGTAAGAAGCCAGCAAAATGTCCATCCGACCAGATAAAGCCTATTGGATGTTTAATACTAGATCTCATATAGATATCACACTCACTTCATGCTCATATATGCAGAAAAAGAGGTTTCACATATGAACTATGTCACTTTCCTGTGTGTTGTGATTGACAATCTGCACATATTGGTTACCTGAAAGAGAGAGAAAAGAAGTGAAGCATAGGAGCCTCATCGATTTGATGAGCATATAGGTCATGAACAGAACTGAGTATTGAATCTACTTTTGTGCAACAGTAGAACAGTCAGCAATGACTAAGCTACAGAGGGTGAAGAAGTCAGCCAT